TTCGATGCATGCTTTATTATTTAATAAATCAAATATTTCTTACTCTTGTAAATCTGCAATCTTTATGTATGTCAAATGTTTTTATTATCATGTACTGCCATTTATACATACATGTGATGTTTTCAATTTTATTTTTGGTGTGTTTCTCTGTGCAGTTATATCAGCTTTTGAAACAATCACCTTGGTAGATGGAGTATTAGCGAGACAATAATATGATCCTAAGACTCTTGAATAATCCAATAAATCTTAAACTACTTTTTTTTTTTTTTGAATATCTACAATTTCCACATTAATAAAAACACAACAAGTACAAAACTCATGCAACGCACGTGTCAACGACTAGTATTGATAAACATGGATGGATAATTGATAAATTCAATTTCCTTTCCAAAGAAAAAGAATAATAGAAAATTAGAGCATATCGTGTTTTTAATTTTTTTTTCTTTTCATAAATTAGGTCACCTATTAATTGTTACAAATCATATAATTATTTCTAAAATACTACACCAATAAACATTCAATATTTAAACCAAAAAAAAAAAGGTTGTGACCTTCTTGTACGGAGGTGTGTTATTTATTATTTAATGTATATTTTCATTTTTAAGTTTTTTTTTTTGAAAAGGAATCATTCCATTAAATCAAGAAAGCAAATGACGGATACAAGGTGGGGGAACCTCCAACACAATTCTCTCCTCAGAGAGTTTAAGTGCTTCCTTTGCTAAACAATGAGCCACAACATTAAGTGACCTGGGAACATGAGCAACATACCAGGAATCAAAATTCCCAAGCAAAGTTTTCGTGTCCTCAATCACAAGACCAGGATAATTACAGAATTCGGACTCTCCATTAATTCCTTTCACAACATTCAGTGCATCACCTTCTAAAAATATTGACCTGAGCTCAAGGTGAACGCAGAAAGACACCGCTTCCAGAGCTATGCTGGATTCTGCCAAAAATGCATCCGGGAGCCCTCTTCTTTGGCACATCAACGCCTGTTTAAACTGTCCCGACCAATCTCTGACAACAATACCGATTCCAATTCGACCCCTTGATGCATCAACCGCAGCATCCCAATTAATCTTGAATGAATTTGGAGAAGATGGTGATCGAAGATGGGGGGGCATAGGCTCCTCTGGTACTATGATTTCCCGGATAGGAGTTAGCTTCCCTAAACTCGAGAGCGTTCTGACTGGCCTTGTTCAAAATGGTTGCTGGGCTATCAAAATTATTCTCAAAGACAAAACCATTCTGCCTCTTCTAGATTAGGTAGATAGTAGCTGAAAAGAGCTCCATTTCCTCCTCAGACAACACATTGAACAGGTGGCTAACCAGGTCCTTGAAATTCCGTGGCGAGAAGGACATTTTCTGAATTCTTCGAGTGCTTCAGCCCCAAACATCTTGGGCCGAAATACACAGCCACAACGCATGGAGAGCAGACTCCTTATCACAATTGCAAATCGGGCATAAAGGCGACTCTCTTATCTTTCTTCTGTGAAGGTTGAGGTTTGTAGGTAGTCGTGTGTGGCCCACCATAGAAGCATTTTCCTCGCATTTGGGGCCTTAAGTTTCCAAATTTTTCTCCAAACCTCCTTTTGATTGTTACTATAAGAGCATTGACCCGATGACTCCTGTTTCGCCTGACTGAGCATATGATAAGCGTTACGAATTGTAAATTTACCATCCTTAGTGAACCTCCAAATGAGTTTATCCGGAGAACCACAGAGACTAATCGGGATCTTTGAAATGAGATTGGCATCCGATTCAAAGAAAATATCAGAGACTAGCTGCATATTCCAAGATTTAGATTCCACATTGATAAGCTCACACACTCTATCATTCATACACTGATAAAACCTGGGTGGGTGAATTTGCGATATAGAAGCTTGGGGAATCCATCTATCCTTGCCCATAATCACAGATGCACCGTTACCAATGCGCCGAAATGCTCCCTCCCTCAATACCTCTTTTGCTTCTGTAAGACTCCTCCAAAGGTAGGATGCATTGCTTCCGATTTTGCTACTCAAGAAGTCTAATCTACAATAGTATTTAGCTTTAAGTACCCTCGCAGCCAATGAAGATTGGTTTTGGATGAGTCTCCAGCCTTGCTTCGCCAAAAGAGCTAAGTTAAAGAGCTCAAAATCCCTGTAGCCAAGACCACCCACCTTTTTAGATTTACCCAGGGTGTCCCATGTGAGCCATTGTGTTTTGGATTTCTCTCCTCTACTACCCCACCAGAAATTCTTTACAAGCCTGGAAATGCCCTGGAAAATGGTTCTTGGGAGCTTGAAAATACTCATACAATATGCAGGGATAGCTTGGATAATAGCCTTGATGAGAACTTCCTTCCCTGTTTGAGACATAAATTTCACTGTCCAATTGTGCATTCTACTTCTGATCGAATCAAGGATCGGTTTAAACACGGACAATTTATTCCTACCAACATATGCCGGCAGACCCAGATATTTCTCAAAAGACTTTGCTTCTTCAACATTGGCAGCATGAAGGACAGCAGACTTGATCTCCTGCTTGGTGTTATTGCTGAAAAAAATGGATGTCTTGTCCAAATTCAAGCGTTGTCCAGATGCATGTTCATAGAGTTTCAGCGGATAGGTGAGTCTCCACCATTCCAACACATTGGCTTTGCAGAAAATTAGACTGTGATCAGCAAAGAATAGGTGGTTTACCAGCATAGTGCCTCTTGCAAAAGAGAAACCAGATATGAGCCCCTTTGCCTCCGCTTTGTCAAGCAAACTTCCAAGAACTTCAGAGCATATAATAAATAAGTAGGGGGAGAGAGGGTCCCCTTGCCTTAATCCTCTCGAGGGGCGAAATTGGCTTTGTGGTTCAGCATTGATAATCAAGGAATATTTCACCGTTCGAACGCATTGAATGATTAGCTCTATCCACCTCTCGCCAAATCCAAACTTCCGTAAAACCATTTCTAGAAAGCTCCATTCGATACGATCATAAGCCTTACTCATGTCTGCCTTCAATGCCATATAACCTTCTTTCTTGCCCTTCACTCGATACTTCATGGAATGCATTGCTTCATATGCCACAATGATGTTGTCTGAAATTAGCCGCCCCGGGACAAAAGCACTCTGAGTCGGAGAGATTATCTCAGTCAGGAAGGGTTTGAGCCGGTTGGCGAGGATTTTTTACACCACTTTGTAGAGGACATTGCATAAATTGATTGGTCTAAAATCTGAAACTGAAACAGGGGTCTTCTTCTTAGGTATAAGGATGATAAAGGTTTTATTAATATCATTGAAGCCTTGATGTGTAACGAGAAGATCTTTAACTGCCGCACACACACCTTCACCAATCGTACCCCAATTGTCTTGATAAAATCCAGCAGAGAAGCCATCAGGTCCAGGATAGCTCATAGAATCCATTTCAAAGACAGCTCGTTTAACTTCTTCATCAGTGAATGCTTTCTGCAGCTGAACATTCATGGCTGGAGTGACTTTGGCCTCAAGATCACAAATCGCCTCTTATCGGGGTTGAAGAAGAGAATAATTGTTGGTAATGTTGATTGAAGATGGTACATATCTCTACTTGATTAGAGATAATCCCTTCCCTGTCATTCAATATACTCTTGATAGAATTGTGTTTTCTACGTTGGGACGCACATTTATGAAAAAAGGATGTATTCTTATCCCCGCTTTTCAGCCACAACTGTTTGGATCGTTGCCTCCATTTGATCTCTTCATCTTCAAGCAAAATGTCAACTTGCTTTTGGGTGTCTTTAATATTATCATTTAGGTCCCCTTGATTAATTCTCTGCATCAGCAATAATCGCTGCATCTTGCCTCTTAACTTCTTATAAAGCAATCCTGCATTGCTCTTTGCCCAACTGTGGAGTTTTTCTCTGCATCGCGCCAGTCCTTCCTTAAACCAAAGAAGAGGACGATTCTGATTACAGGGTAGTGACCATGCATTTTCCACAATTTCAATACACTCCTGCTTCCTGAACCACGCTGCCTCGTAGCGGAACACCTTTGGTTTACTAGAGTCCCTTTTATCATTTTCGATGCTGCAGGAAATTAGGAGAGGATTGTGGTCGGAATTAATAACTGGTAATACCTGCACCTCACACTTGTTATAAATGGTGGGGAACGACTGGTTAACGAATGCTCTATCCAGCCTCTCTTTTGTGAAGCGGATCCCCTCCCTCTTATTGCTCCAAGTATACTTGGGACCAATATATCCCAAATCAGTGATCTCACACACTTCAAGCACTCTATAGAAGTTCTCCATTTGAGAAAAAGCTCTGGTAGTAGCTCCAAATTTCTCACTGGGATTGGTAATCTCGTTAAAATCTCCCATAATCAACCAAGGAAACGGGCTGCCCGGATTTAGCCTTTCCATGAGCCGCCAGCTCTCTTTCCTCTTTTTTGTGACTGGGTTACCATAGAAACCAGAGAGTAACCAAGGAGGGCTATCAATAGAATTCTTGATGCTTAACGAGATGTGGCTGTTCGAAAAATTAACAATTTCCGCATTAATGTCCTCCATCCAAAGAACCGCTAACCCTCCACTCCGTCCGACACAATCAACAACAAAACAGTTATCAAACCGGTTATTCACTCTCAAGTTCTCCATTTTCTTTCTATGTAGCTTGGTTTCAGAAAGGAAAACTAAGCTAGGGACCTTATCCTTCACCAAACGGTGAAGTTCCCGAATTGTTCGAGGGTTCTCCATTTCTTAGAGATAATTAATGTTGAGAATTGTCTCTTTTGTCTTTTTCCTTGGACGAATAAAATTTAGTCTAGAGCTAGACTAGGATTATTTTGATGTAGTTGAGTGCACTTCATTTGAAATACGTTTAAGAAATTGTACCAAAAGAAATAGAAAGCTCTATGGTGGTGGTGGCGGTGGTGGTGGCAATTGTGGTACAACTAGTGGTCACAGTGGTGCAGGCGCGATGTCGTCATAGTGATGATGAAGCAGTGGTGGGCTTTGGTTTGTTTGAGATGGAGATGGTCGTAGTGGTAGTGGTCGTGTAGATGGCGATGGTGATGACGATTGTGGTGCAGTTGTTGTTCATGGTGGGCGATGTCGTCACGATGGTGGTGAAGTAGTGGTTTTTTTTGGTAGTGGGCGTTGGTTTGTTTGAGTTGGAGTTGGAGTTGGAGATGGAGGATGGAGATAGCCGTAGTGGTGGTGATGGTAGCGATGGTGTTGACTACAGTGATATTGGAGGTAGTGATGAGGTGGTGGTCACAAATTATTTGATTGATTGTACCAATAAATTGGTTAAGGTGTGACCAATAAACAATATGTGACCAATTAAATAGATAAATTGTCATCAATAAATAATGTGTCAGCTAAAAATTTGTTAATTTGTGTCCAATAATTTAATAATTTGTGACTTATAAAATTTGTGATTTGTGATCGAATTTTTTTTTTTTTTTTGTTTTGTGACCGACGAATAAACTATGGCATATAAAATTTTTGATTTATGATCATGAAATAATTTGTGATCTATAAAATTTATTATTTATGACTGAAAAATAATTTGTGATCACTTAATTTGATAATTTTTAACCAAAGTATATAGAATTATGATTTTAATATAATTAATTAATTAATTCACAAATAAAATTTTAAACCTTATTTCTTAGTTTTGAAATATGTCAACTTAATCTTTTAGATATGAAATTTTCCCTATTTTAAACATGGGACGAACTGGTAGACCCTTTTGACAGCCCTGAATTCATAAAAAAGTGTCATTAACGTTTACTTTAAGAGATGGAGATCATGAGAAAATAACATGATTTATAGATTCTTATAACATTTACTTTTTTGTATTGTTTGGGAGTCGTTTATAATCTCGACAGAGGTAAGTGATTGATAAGTAGTCCTTGTAAATTTTCGAAAATATGTCGATAAATAGTTATTTCATATTTTATAAACATTAGCCAAATATTTGCTTAGTCTCTCTCATTCTATGTATAAAGGCACTATCTTTCTTTCTTCTCTTGATATCACATATTTTAAGTTCTACATTTTTGTGGACAAATGTTCACATTATTTATAAGTAGTAATGGGGTGAAGGTACGTTTGCATGTTAATTGGATAATGTAAAAATAGGTGTATGTAAATTTGAGAGAAATTTATTTGTAATTTTGAAAGATATTCATAAGTTGGTTGTAATTGATTTGCTTTTCATCTCTTTTCTTTTTATATTTTTATTCTTGATACGGACATTTGGTATCCGCTGTATTTAACTTCCCGTTACATTTATTTATTTTTGGAGATTTACCTATACTTGGACCAGGCATTTGCTTATAAAAAAGTTTGTGGGATATATATATATTTCCTGTTTGACACCCATTTTGGAGAAAAAAATAAATTTTGGAAGAGTGATTGATGGAAAAATGTGTAGTTGAAATGAAGAAAGAGAAAAAAATGAGAATGAGAATTAGAAGAAAATTGGTGTCAAACGAGGGCACACATATATATAGGGCAGACACAGACCATTTGTCTTGTGGAGTCAAAAATGAGAA